CTGTGGCTCTTCTGTCTTTTGTTCCTTTCTGACAGGAAAGACAATGCATGGCCTGTCTGCTGAACATTCAGTTGCGTGAATCAGGCAGATTACAAATATACATAAATAAAATATGCAATTTCTCTTGTAAATTCAGTGAGATAAGCAGCCTATAAACAACCCCATTCATAGGAAGGGAAAAAGCTAAATTACTATTTTTACTAGTTCTTTCGGTTTAGCTTTATTCCAATATTCAACAAAGGCAGCACAAACTAATAAATTTATATTGTGATCATCTTTCTCTTTCCCAAAACTTTATATGCAAAAAAAATAAAAATCCCATTAACATTGAATGCCATATTTCCCTTAACCATTAATCAATCTTGGGTGCTTTTTCTTGTCTCCATGCTTGCGCAATTAACATTCTGACAGAAGTGAATAAAGTACATGTCAAATAAATCTTATTAATGGAAACTCCTTTTGGCATAACATTCAGAAGTGCTGTATCAGGATGCAATTGTAATCTTATACGAGTAGTTTCTCTTACTAATTTAAATACTTCGTTCCAAAAGATCTTTTTAATTGGGCATTGCTGCCAAATATGAAGAAAAGACCCCAAGTGCCTTTTACATCTGCAACGTAAATATGTTATAGAAGGTGATATTTCCCTTAATCTATCTGTTGTCAGATACCAGCAGTACATAAGTTTAAGAATATTCTCCCTTACTGCAACATACATCAACGTTTTTATATCCTTGTGTAGATTAATCTACTGACTTTCAGTTATAAGTATTAACAGATCTTTTCCCCATCTTTCTTTATATGTAGTTAACGTTTATGTCAGCATCAGCAAGTGCAGCAGAGTTGGTTGCCACTAAGTGTTTCCATTCATTAGGGTATAATAAAATTTACTAAAAACTATTAGGAGTCCTAGATATATTTATTTGAGTTGCTTACTCTGTATAAATCTTCTAATTTGCAAGTACTGAAAAAAGCAATACCATATCTATATATTTATATTGTATTTTTGAAAAAGACATAGTAATACCATCCTTAATGAAGTCTGTTATTGTAGTCAAACCTGTCTTTCCCCAGATGCTGAAATTGCTTTGTAAAAATAAAAACAAACAGAAACCCAGCTCCAACTACTGGCCTGTAATTGCTGGACCAGAATCCACAGCTGGTTTGTATATTGGTTTGTATACTCAGGACCCATAATGTAACAGGATGTTGGAAGAGCTGCATGAGATATGGTCTCCAACCATGCATAGAGTCCCCATTGAGAAACGAGGCCTCTGGTTGAATGTCCTTTCCTGTAGAAGGGAGGGACTTGCATTGCTCTTCCATCACATTATTTCAGCATCCCCACAGTTGAAGGCAGGGGACTCAGCTGGTGTGCAAGCAGCCTGACCTGGAGTTGGCTTGTGACATCATTTTCATTTTGTGAAGGAGGGAGTTCTTTATAAAGGAGAAAAACAGGTACACACAATGGAGCAAAACAGGTACACAGAGAAGGGAGATAAGGGAGGTACGGTTCAGAATTAAAAGTGGGTGATATGTTAGAGTTTGGAGTTAAAGTTGTTAGAGTTGGAATTAAATTGGATTCTGCATGGGTTGTGTGTGCCACATGCTGGAAATGTTGTGTGTGCCATAATATGCAAAAAGTGCACATTTGTCTATGATGCCATATTTTAAAAGTACATAGGTGGTAGTTGCTTGCTGCTGTACACACACGGCAAAATAGACTTATGCAGAGGTTATTTCCTGCCGGAATGCACCGGAACGGCGCTCTGGCAGTAGGGAGCCCAGGAGCGGGGACATGCAGCAAGCCCCACCCCCAGCTCCCAGCAGCCCTCAGTCGGGCCACGAGGAGCAACAAGCAGCAAGGTAAGTTGGTAGGGCCTCCCCATGCCTTCTCCGGCCCACCCACTGAGGAGGATGGGCCAGGGAAGGCCTGCAGAACCCCCCTCCCCCTTCCCGGCCCACCTGCTCTAGGTGGACGGGCCAGGAAAGGCCTGCAGAGGGGGGGTGGGGGAGCCGTGGGGGTGGCAGGGCCTTGATAGGGGGAGGGAGAGCCTCCCTCCCTCCCCAACTCTTTGCCATCTTTCTTTTTTCCCCTCCTTCCCTCCTTCTTTCCTTTTCTCTCTCTCCCTCCCTCTTT